CGATGATACCAACGTCCTTAACCTCTCTTATCCACGAAAGGGGTATGCCCACTAGAACCCAGAGGGCTATCCAGACACGTCTATCGAAGACGCGGGCCATTGCTTCACATGTCGAGGCCAATAGGAGAAACATCACGGAGCACACGGCAACGAGGGTTACATGCAGCACGAACCCGAAGTAGATCGCGGCACCGGTGCCAAAGGCGATTCCGCCAGCCTCCTCATAGCATTTGGCCGTTTCGTTACCATCACGTACGGCGAGACGTAGAGTTCGCCAAAGGAGGAGGTTGTTGTGGAATACGATTGTTGCCGCGAGTGTGAGGCCTATTACGCTGCCAAGCCAGCCAGAGCTAGTGGCTGTGCCTGGAAGCGTCAGAATTCCTACGCCAATCGCAGTCATAGTGAGAGTACAAGCCCCGGCAAACCACCCAAGGCCGGAGGGCTTGACTGAGATACCATCATCGGGAATCGAGTTGATAGGGAGCATACACCAACACGAAAAACCTGCAATTAGCAGATAGAATGCGTCATGTCGACTACCTCCAGATCGTAATGCCGACATTCCAGACACCAACGTCAATTCGGGTAGCAACTGAGCGACAGTTCACGCGTTGTAAGTTGTGACGCGTGAATCGGCTTAGTTGTGCGGACCACTAGGGCGGGCGAGACGGGGAATCTTTATTAGTTGATTGGCCAATGAATTCAACTAGGCGTACGTCTCAAATCAGATACAATGGAAGTTCGGGTGAGTGCATTGGTGGCTTTTGAAATCTCGAAACGCTGCCCATGAGAAACTTGGATGTTGGGATTGATAAGAATGAAAATCAATTGAAAATGACCAGCACGGAGCTACGACTTTCTGAATAATAAGACTAACGCTTAGCAAGAATCACATTAGGCTTGGGGCTTCGGCCATCGACCAATCGCCAATTACCGGTTGTCATTCCCCGCCAACAAGGGGACTCAGAATAGTTATCCCCAACGATGAAAATGACTTTAGCCAATCATGAATGCGGATGAGACATGGCAGGTTAACAGATGTGATGATTCAGATTGACCGCCTCATCGCCGACGCGAACTGAATATACCACCACTTCACACAACGGCAATGCGGCCACACGAGAAATAAAATTGGCTACGATGATGATATTTTCGTCTGAGACTTCACCATAGTCAGGAAAGAGGTATAGATCTGTTCATGGAATTTATTCCCAGGGAGAATCGCGATACCGATATGAGTTCCAGAAATGTCCCTTGATCGCAGTGATAGCCGAAGTCAGAGAAGCAACGGCATAGCACGATAAGACATCATTATGTGTAGATTACCCGACCGCAGTAGCCCACTGGAGAGCTCAGCAGCTTGAAAATCACACTTCTCCAACATTGGTGAGCATCAGTTAAAGTGTCGGAATATCTTGTCCTCACTGGTCAATTACATCGACCAAGGAGAAAGTCTGTCATCAAAGCTCATTAGTCATTTCACCTCAGCTCTCATAATCCAGTGGGTCATCAAATCGCTGAAACAGCCAACGCCGAGGCGAAGACACAGCAACCTCAATCTCAAAAACTACTCCATCATCGGAGATACTCAAAATGAGATGTAACAATCAGCGCAGCGAGAGCTATAGATAGCAATCACTTCAGCCTCCTGAATACCTTCGTATCGGCAACTCTTAGCACTACCTAGAACATTGAATGGTACCGGTAGCAACTCTAGAGAGCCTCACACGGTTGAAGAAGAGTCAGACGTAGGACAAAAGTAGATAGAAGAGGTTGTCCTCACTATTTATCGGAGGGAAGTCAAGCTGTATCATCACTCTCGATCGTAGCATTTTCCCTCAGTGTGGTGCATGGTTCCTTTTTCTACACGAGTTCTTTTCAGAACAGGTCTGTGTAAGAAGGTATAGTCATCATAGGGAGCAGATTATGAGTATCAGACAGTACGAACACCTAGGGTGGTTTATCATCATAATCAGATGACACGCATGAATATGGAATCAATCATCATACACTGAACCAATTTATGAGTGATTTGACACGAAGTCCACACACGAGCTTGTGAGAAATCGATCACGCGATCGATGGGCGAGCGCAGAGCCATTTATAGATCGCGCTATGGCTGGCATCAATCGTGAAGTGAGTACTACTTCCAGTCTTACATGAACGAATTTATGTGGAATGGCTGTCCCTCCTGAGCTGCATTGTATGTGTGCAAGACTCTCTCAATACAGCCGTCCAGCGTTGAGGGTACTCGACGTTCCGTTATTCGGCTTATTGGAACACGATATTCCTTCGAATATTTACAATGTTTAGATGTTGCTATGATGAAAGAATATCATTTGGCTTAATCTTTTCTGTCTACCGTCATCGGCGGGGCATGGAGACTACTTGATGACGAGACTGAGCAACTTGAAATCGTTACATTGACTTAAATTGAAATTGAATCAGTCGCATTGAAAGTTGTGACCATCTGATGCGAAAAATGAGATAATTTAACTTGATAATCAACGCGGAAGTATCCAATATTCATTTAACTCTCATACAACATGCGGAAGTAATTTGAGATAACATTATAGCAAGCACCTGATATTTGTCAAGGATTGTAAATACAACGACGCTAATACACTCGCTCTAATTAAACCAAGAATATGGTTGATGACAAGACCGATAGTCTTCTCGAATGAGAATTCCCCCATGAGTATAAGGCTGGACTCTTGACTAGATAACCAGCTGCATCAAGTAATACATGACTAACCGATGACAGACCGAACTGCCCTCAAACAACGCAACGATCGCCAACATCAAGATATCTACTGAAAACTCAGCTATTTCTTCCATGCGTCTACAAGCACTTTTCAAAAAATAGGATCACATCATCTGCATGTGATCATCAGCTGTTAAGCTCAGCCACGAGCACCTGGTGATGGCGAAACGGTACGAACGAGTAACCATCAGCCTTGTAAAACTTGGACTGAAATTCCACCCAATGCAAACGTAACGTATGAAGGAAGCACTCCAGGACATCCATAAACAGCAAAACTCCAACAGTGATACCAAAGAGCACAGCGAAGCCCAGATAGATCCAAACCGCTTGAAGGCTACCCGTGGTTTCCAACATAGGTTGAAGAGTCTTCTGGAAGAAAACCAGCGACAGCTGTTGATGAGCCAACGACAGTGCCCATTGACGGAGATATGATGCTGTATGAGATATAGTTCCCAGCACATACTCTATGGTCTCGATGATCTGATGAATGCACACCTCGCCAAACGGTTCCTCATCATGTTCATCTTCATGACCCTTGTGTTCCCCAAGCAGAGGCTGTTCTAGATCACCATTCATTCTCGAGGAAGAACTAGCTCTACTCGAGAGCTTCCTTTTGATGAAGATGATCACCGGCTTAGGAATGAGCATCAAGGGAACTGCACAAGCAGTGATAATCATGAGAGTCTTCTGAATGTCCGACTGTCCTTCATACAGGGGTTGCCTGTTGGGCTGGCTCAGACCCATACCTATGAGCGTGTTGATAAGTGATGGTGCACCGTTGAGGTTGGGGTCTTGCGTCACTGGTGTAACCCATTTATACATAATCATCCAGTCCATGTAACCGAAAAAACATATCATGAAGGCCAGCTGGGGGATACAC